GGGGGGGTGAACATTTTCGCGAAACATTTGTTCGCCACCACAGCAACCTAACTAAATTAAATATATTGTATTTTTATTATTTATGACAAAACTACGCAAATATTTATTGTTTTTATCATAAATCATAAAAATACAATAAATACAATATATACACACAACAAACACTACAAACATCAAATTAATAAAAGTGTACTCACGAATGTCTGTTCTATTAATCCTTAGACATAAATGAACGCTCTCCATCTACTGGCAATTGTCATTCAAAGGCTAATTGCACGAGCACTAATGGATCATTCCTGTGTATTTGTCATGGTGGATACACTGGAAATGGAACTGCCTGTCAAGGTAAATAAATTGACATCACAATTTCTGACATTGCATTTAAACGGACAAAATGTCAAAATGATCGCATAAATAAGAAGAAGCTATCTGAACATGTCAGTGCCAATCATTTACTTGTTGGAAAACCATGCATAACGTTTGATCCTGCATGCATGATAAATCCAGTAATACCGCCACATTAAGACATCGATGCAAACCACAATATGATTATACTCTGCCAATTCTACAGGATGTATAAAAAAAGGTAATCGAACTTCAGCGCGCTATTGTATCCGAATTACTCTGCGTGATTTTAACACATTCGGAAAGATCATGCTTTTAGCTGTTGAATGATATTTTCTTCATGCCAAATGGATGAAAAATGAGCAAATACGAATCTGATAAGAAAATGTTAGTCAGAATCGCATATTTTCACCGTTGAGAGTTGGGTCTAAAACCATTGAAAATGAACCCCCTTTGGTACTTAAGTTGATGAATTTCACTCATTAAACTACGCACATATTCATAATTATTATTAAGTTGGAATAAATCTTAGCTAAGCTACGACACGTTAGTGATTAATTGCTTTTTCTTTTGTTATGCATTGTTTTAATTAGGCACAGAGGTGAAAATATGCAATTTTCACTAACATTTTTGATCGGCCTCGTACATGCTTATTTTTCTCCACTGGTATGAAAAGCATGTCATTCAATAGCTAAAAGCCTGATCTTTCCAAATATAAAAACCAATTGTTCATACGCCGAGTGATTCACGTATAATAGCGCGCTGAAGTTCGATTAACTTTTTTTTATACACCCTGTATTAGCAGAAAAAGCAGTTGCAAAGCAGTACATGTACATGCAACAATAGAACCGGCCAAATTGAAACCCCAATAACCAGTAGGCAATTCCAGCTATCGCGAAGCATCATGGGGACTGTACATGGTGTGAATTCCAGTTTAGAATCGAATGACCCGCGTTACTTCACGCACAGCCATGGCCAGAAATTACGGACATAATAGATTGAACTTCCTTAGCTAATTTGCATATCACTTTGAAATATGGCTCAAACTGTAAATAATAGATTGTACAACGCGATGTTTTAAATCGGCACAATTTGAGGATAAAGTAGATCGCTTGCAATTTGCCGACGTCGCTGGTTGTAAAACAAAGTATGTCGAATATTTTAGTATAATATTGGCTCGATTTAAGTCACTACCCATCCTACTTTTTGAATATTTGTAAAATTGTTAAATTTCACTAGAATTGCCTATTCAACTCCATATGAAAATACCGCACTAGAAATAAACTAAGAAGTAGGAGAGACAGTAACTTAGACCAAGCCAAAATTACAAGCAATATACCTTTTTCTTAGATACTGCGATTTACAACATCGCGGTACACAATCTGCTGTCTACAATTGAAGCAACATTTCAAAGTGATATGTTAATTAGTATGGAAATGGAATAAATTATGTCCAGGATTTCTGGCAATGTTTGTGTTGGGCTAGTTTTTGTTGTTTACGGCGCTTCATCGCTTGTAATGGATCAATATTGAAGTAGATCTTTCAATGACTTTGTTCAAATTTGAGAGGGATCGGTTCATTTTATCGCAAAAATACTAATAATATACAATCATGCACAGAACAGATATTTGACCTAAATGGAAGATGTGCGAACGGAACGTAAATATTGAAAATACTAGATGCACGACCAGGATTCATAATAAAGATTCTGAAACGTTCTCTGATCGTAATTTTTTTATTTAAAACACGAAAAAGCAAAACATTCTTTGACTCAGGACCATAAAATCAACTTTGATGAGTGCGAAATCTTAGACAATGCAACCTATCGACACAGAGCAACACTGGAGTTCTGGCATACAGCAACCACAGTCAATTCTGACAACAATGCACAACATTTACCAGAACAATATCGATTTTTATTAAAAAAGAACAGATCATAGACATAGTGTTATATTTATATAAGTATACTCGTTTCACTAGAGTTTACGTAGGCGGAACTACTCATTGTTATATTGCATGTCATTATAATTGTAATTGTAATTTTAAACCACTGTCCTTGTAGTTACATCCGTAGAATAGTTTATATGATTTAAATTAATATCACTTTACCTGTCAAAGACTGCAGACTGGCAGTCGAAAGCTCGTACGTGTTTTAAATAAAAATTTACGATCAGAGAACGTTTCAGGAACGTAAATAATTTGCGCTATCCATGCAAGGCACCTTTCCAACAGAATACATGTAAATATAGTTTACTAAATATTAAATACTAATAACAAGTTTATATACAACGAGATAATTAACTCCTATGACAAGACAGACACGTGACATAGACCAAGTACATAGGCCTAAATACAAGTTCACATCGAATACAATAGATACTAACATACAGGGTGTATCAAAAAACACGTCCCAAATGGGAAATTTCATCAAACTCAGATATTCCGCAAAATTTGGGATATTTTTTGTAACCAAGGCAAATTAGGAGTCTTTTGGTATGTGCAGGACAAAAAAATATTTTCGAAAGTAAATTTATGCTACCGGGGGAGGGTGCTTCTTATCGTCCAAGTTTGAAATGGCTTGCGCACAAAACTTTCAAGCTAAAATTGGGATATTATTCAACTGGTTACAAGTATGAACGGTGTTTAATAAACTGTCAAAGTTTCACAAAAAATGGTGCTTATTAAAAGGAACGCGAACCCCTTAAAGTTGCCACATTTTACATTACGCACAGTTGATTCAAGGCAAAATTGATTTTAGCGTGACCGATCTCATGCAAGGATGGGCACATGAATAAATTTAAGCAACCAATTGAACACATAAACATAGCGATTAAATAAGCAGTTGTTTTGGTTCATTAGTTTTGAGGACTAGCATAATGAATAAAAACAACTGCTTATTAAATCGCTTTGTTTATGTGTTCAATTGTTTGCTTAAATTTATTCATGTGCCCATCCTTGCATGATAGATACTTAAACGGTAGATGCGGTGGTGGTGTTTGTTTTTATATACGAAGTTGCATTAATTTTTCGGTACGATACGATTTCAAATTTGATGAATTGGAAAACTTATGCATTTCAATCAATAAACCTAGATCTAAGCCTTTTCTTATAGTGACATGGTATAGGCCACCAAATTCGGTCGTGGATAAGTTTAATCACCTAGAAACGCTGCTAGGCAAACTTGATGCTGAAAATATTGAGTACTATCTGGTGGGTGACCTGAATTGTGATTTAAGCTCTACAGTCTTGGATCATAGTTCAAGGTTGCTCATTGATATTGCTGAAACATTCGATCTTCAACAACTGATAACTGAACAAACTCGAATTACAAGTTCATCGTCAACATTGATAGATCACATTTTTACAAACGCTCCTGATAGAGTGGTCTGCTCTGGTGTTTCTCACATTAGTATAAGTGATCATAGTCTTGTTTATGCTTTTAGAAAACTTTCTGCCAGAATGCCGACAAGAGGACATACTACAGTAAGCTATAGAAAGTTTAAAAACTTTGATTCTGCCAAATTTCGTAATGATATTAGTCAGCAAAACTGGGACTTTATCCATCAATTTAAGAATCCTAATGATATGTGGCATACTTGGAAAAACACATTTAATTTTGTTGTAGAAAAGCATGCTCCTTTACTCACAAAGCGTGTCAAGGCCTCTAAAGCGCCTTGGATTTCATCTCACTTGAAAGGTGAAATGCACAAAAGAGATATTCTTAAAATCAAGGCAATCCGGTCTAATGATCCTTTAGATTGGCATATTTTTAAGAAAATGCAAAATTCCGTAAATCAAAATATTGTCCGGGCGAAGGAAAACTATTTTAAACGTGCGTTTTCTGAAAATAAATCCAACTCGAAAAAGACCTGGAATATTATTAATGATCTCACATCTAAAAATCGAAAAAGCTTGCATATTCACGAAGTTGATTTGGATGGTAATTTGATTAACGATTCCAACAAAATTGCTGATGCTTTTAATGAACACTTCTCTAACATTGGTCCGAAGCTTGCAGATAATATGTAGATGTTAATCAGAATAATCGTTGTTATCTCGATTATTTACCTAGTCAAAATAACAACATCCGTTTTCAATTAAAAGAAACTAATTTCTCTGCAGTTTTCGTCCTTTTGTCCAAGCTAAGTAGGTCAAAAGCTACTGGTCTGGACAAAATTTCGTCCCGCCTACTTAGAGAGTGCCCTGATTTAATAGCGGAATCTCTTAGCTACATTTTTAATCGATCAATTGTCTCCGGAGTATTCCCAGATGAGTGGAAACACGCTAAAGTTGTCCCAATACACAAACAAGGGAGACGTAATTGCCCTGACAATTATCGTCCGATTTCCATTGTCTGGGTAGTGGCTAAGGTTTTCGAAAGGATAATTTATGATCAGCTGTATTTATTTCTATCTGAAAATAGTCTGTTAACTAATTGTCAGTCGGGATTTCGTGGTCTACATTCTACTGTTACCGCCCTTGAGGCCACTAACGATTGGGCTTACAATATCGATCATGGAAGCGTAAATGCTGTCCTGTTTCTCGACCTCAGGAAGGCGTTTGATACCGTAGACCACGAGATTCTTTTAGGAAAACTAAATTCATATGGCATCAATGGTATTGCTGGCAACTGGTTCAGATCATATCTCAGTGAACGGAAACAAAAATGTTTCGTTAATGGTCATTTTTCGACAAATCGTTTACTCCGTTGCGGAGTTCCCCAGGGAACTATTCTGGGGCCACTTTTATTCTTAATCTATATCAATGATCTCCCGAATTGCCTCTCTCACTCACGTGCACGCATGTACGCAGATGACACTCATTTGACCTACGCAAGTAACGATATTAGAGAGTTTTAGCTTGACGTTTACGGCAAACGTCAAACCGCTAACGAAGTTTTTGATTTTACAACTCTGTTATAACAGCTTTTGCACCAATTTTGAAATCTAAACAATTATTAAACTTGTGCTCTTTAGCAATGATTTAAAAGAAAGCAAATTAACCACTAGTCACGTATTCGCGAAAGCAGTAAATTAAGATTTGGCGTTTGAAGTTTACGTTTGGCGTATAAATTTCATGCTTGAACTGCTATGAGGGCTATAACAGAGTGGTAAAATCAAAAACTTCGTTAGCGGTTTGACGTTTACCGTAAACGTCAAGCTAAAACTCTCTAATGACATTGATCATCACTTCAACGAAGATCTTGCTAAAGTCAGTGAGTGGTTAGTAGCCAACAAACTTACTTTAAACCAATCTAAAACAGAATTTATACTAATCGGCTCCCGTCAAAGGATTAGTACTTTCAACTCTAGTCCTTCACTGACAATAAATGACTTACAAATTAAACAAGTCTCTCACACAAAGTCACTTGGTGTACATTTAGACGAGAACTTGACTTGGAATGTTCATATCGAGAAATTATGCAAAAAAGTCGCTTCTGGCATAGGTGCATTAAAGCGTATAAGGCCATTCGTCCCACCTTCCACAATGCAACTTATTTACAATTGCTTAGTTCAACCCTATTTCGATTACTGTTGCGTTGTCTGGGATAGTTGCGGCAGCACTCTTGCGAATAAACTGCAAAAACTCCAAAATCGAGCCGCTAGAGTACTTATTTCATCTAATTATGATACAAATGCTGAATATCTAATTGAAAAATTGAGCTGGAAAAACCTTGAATCTCAGCGAAAAATTGCCAAAGCTATAATGGTCTATAAATCTCTTAATGGTTTTGTGCCAGACTACCTGTCTGAAATGTTTGTTGATCGAAGTAGCGTAACAAATTATACATTGAGAGACACCAGTAGAAAATTAGCTTTAGCTCAACCACGCACAAATTACCTGAAAAATAGTTTTAGCTATAGTAGTTCTGTGCTGTGGAACTCCCTTCCGGTTGAGTTGAGACAGTCTAACTCATTACGTAAATTCAAGTCAGACTGCAGCAACTTTATACATTAGTCAATAATTTTAGATTTTTATATTAATATATTAGCACGGCACTTATGGAAAACAGGTATTCTTGTAATATATAATTAGTATTAGGCAGCGTTTACACTGTACCGTTTTCGTATCGTTCTCGTATTGTTCGAGAGAACTAGACTATTGTCTTGCGTTCCCTTGAGGATTAAGAACAATACGAGAACGCTACGAAAACGGTACAGTGTAAACGCTGCCTTAGTATAAACCTACTAGTAGGCTATCACATATCGTGCCTTCTGATTGGCTACGCTACTAGTAAGCTATTAGTGATAGCCTACTAATAGAAAATTCAAAATGGCGGATAATTCGCGTTTTGCAATTTTGCCGAAGTGTCTGATGATTTTTTGGACTTGTTGAACAATTCTGTACTAAAAAACTCAGAAAAAAGCAACAAAAATATGGAATGGCAATTTTTAAGGGTAAGAAAATAGACAAAATAACATACACTCAATGAAATTTTAAAATTAAAACTGAATTTTGTAAAACATTTTACGCGAACAAAAACTAAAATATTTGTTTACCTTTAATGGTTTTATAATGTTTTTTTTGTGTATTTTTGTATTGTGTTTGCAGCCTAGTTGTAAATTAATGTTAAAGTTTATACTAAAACAATTAGACAACTCGGCTTCGTTGTCTATGAGCAAATAGTCAACTCGGCTTCGCCTCGTTGACTATTCGCTAATAGACAACTCGGCCTCGTTGTCTAATTGTTAATTAGTATAGTATGTATACATAATTAGTATCTTAATTAACTTTTATATTCTGTAATCTGTAACTATATTGTATTCTCTTATCATCTTTTATGTAAAATCCTGATAAGTCTACCGTGGGTAAATAAAGTTCACAACAAGATCGGTCACGCTAAAACAATTATGCCTTGAATCAACTGCGCGTAATAGAAAATGTGGCCACTTTAGGGGTTTCGCGTTCCTTTTAAATCTTAATTGAAATAGCTGTGTACTTATGTATCATATACATTAATGTGCGTTAGTGCGTATTTGTATATAGCGCCAGCGAGTTAACGCTCTATAGAGCGTCTTGTTATACAGTAATTCCCCAAGCAGCGGGTTCATTAAATGGTAATAACTTCATCGGTACATGAGCCAACGTATTCCTTTGTCCACCAGAAGAGTAAAAGCGCTTACCCGCGGCAGAGTTATGTTTGAATAAATTATGTCTCACTGAATCATACATTCATAGATCGATACTTGAGCCAACGTATTCCTTTGGCTTTGTCCACCAGAAGAGTAAAGCCCTTGCCCGCGGCAGAGTTATCTTTGAATAAACTGCGTCTCATGAATCATGTATCGATACCTGAGCCAACGTATTCCTTTGTCCACCAGAAGAGTAAAAGCGCTTGCCCGCGGTAGAATTATATTTTGAAAATCTTTCGATAATGTTACTCTGTCGACAGCTCAGAGTAAGTAACGTTATTTTGCATGAACTCGTGCATGTTATGTGCCATTTAGGATGAACTGCGTTATGTCCTATGATTGGTCAAAGCACAGAACAGAGTCGTACAAGGTTTTCAATTGGTTCACAGTATGTTTCACGGTTTGTTCACGCACATGATGTGTGCTAGCTGGCAGAAGATGATCTTTGACCTATCTGTCAAGATCTTTGATCTAACTGCCAGAGATTAGGTTGATATAAACCATATCTTCCTCCTCATCTTACCATCACAGCTTGTCTCATTAACTTAAATTTATATAGGCTATAAATTTGCTTATATACTTCAACTGAGAATATACGTTAAAATAAAATACTGCATGGAACAAAGAACGTATCCTGGAACACAAATAGTTAAAAAAAAAATACCTTAAAACGGTAGTTTGAACGATTTCTAGACTTATTTCAGTCACATATTTTTAAAAAAAATAACCTGAAAAAAATTTAAAAAATTGATGAAGCGTTGAATATACCATTTCAGATAATAGGACTCACTGAAGCATGGTTGAATGACAATAACATGGATTGTTTAATTACAATGAATAATTATGAGTATTTTGGTTCTAATAGTTGACCTGCACCGAAGGATTATTTGCACACATATAATTGCGACCAGCGAGCGAGCACCAGCGAGCGAGCTGGGAGCATCCTAATCTGTGCGTAGAAAATTTAAATATACCGCTGAGTTCGGATTAGCCCCGGCTCAAGATTCACGGATTCACCTCGGCTTGCATTCCATATTTGGAACATATTTCCATATTTGGAAGACCGCATGAAACGGTATATCCGCCGCTGTTATGCCGCCCAGTGTTTTATTTACTCATCGATACTGATGCAATTTTATACATGTACCTTTAACTTTTGTTCATCAAATTGTACATCAAATGAAGCTTAACTTAGCATCTACTAACTGTTGTAAGTCTGTTATTGAAGACAGATTTAAATAAACAAAAAGATTAAATGCTGTGCATGAGGATGTGATGTATACAAAGAAACGTCTGTTGTTTGAAAGTCATGTGCCGGGCTTTAATATTTATCTTTAAATTGCGCTTTGTCAATTGGTACTGTTATTGACACGTCATGCTATTCATAGAAGGCGACTTTGCGCTGTAGCGGCAATATAATCACAAATGTATAAACTATTTGTTATGTAATTTGTAGCAAGTGACGTAATTGGATACCAATAGACCTTTCCCCTTTTAAGTGAAATTTTGATCTAGACAAGTCTGCACAAAAATTTCATCACAGCTTGAAAGAGTTTATATCACAAATTAGTAATATTCCGAAGTTTCGTTGCGAAATGTTGTAAAATGCGGATAATATAGCCTTGCGAAGTTTGCCGTTTTTCAGTCATTTTGATTACAAATGGGAAATTGATAATCAGTTTGATCACTGATTATCAATTTCCCGTTTGTAATACCAAATGACTGAAAAACGGCAAACTTCGCAAGGCTATATTATCCGCATTTTATAACATTTTGCAACGAAACTTCGGAATATTATTGATGCTCTTTCAAGCTGTGATTAAATTTTTGTCCAGACTTGTCTAGATCAAAATTTCACTTAAAAGGGGAAAGGTCTATTAGTCAAGTTAATATTTTGATAAATTTATCTAAATTGGATATTCAGTGTAAATGGGCCGACTTTTATTATATGTAATGAGCAATATTATCCCATATATTATCGCCACTCCTTTGCATAAACTTGAAAAGTTGTTACTGTTTTTTATTTTGAATATATCAATAGACAATATGAAATAAAGTACCTTGTCATGTGCATGTTTATTTGACGCAAATCGTTATATAAAAAATAAAACAAACCCGACCGACCGACTTTTGGCAAAAGTAAAGGATGATCACCAACTATCTGGCTAAAACAGCGTCAGTCGGCTGCCTCGTCCCCAGTCGCTTGCTATCGAATAATTAATTAGTAAAAGACGAAAAAAAATTAATGGGGGCGCGCGGGACGTTTAATTTTTTTCGTCTTCCCAGCATGCATCACAACAGATTTGTTCAGCCACTGATCTATATATTAAACTGATATGTCTATATATACACTGATCTACAAATAGTAAGGGCCTGCGGAGGAGGCAGGTCAGTCGGCGCGTTGTCATTAGTGACTAAAGTCTCCAGGTCGCACTTTTTAACCTGTGGTTACGCCTAGTTATAGTGATCTAGGTTGTTGGTTAC